TTTTTTTTTGTTTTGAAAATTCGTAATGGAAAACCGAACATCATTCAAACACAATGGAAACCCAACTGGTGAGATAATGTTGTAATTTATGAGTTTTTTTTTGCATTGCTTTCACCAAAAGAAAACCTTAAAGAAAAAGACCTAAACTTGTGCAACATCATCAGAAAAATTTTGTTGAACAGCTTGCTAAGACCGAAAGATCAAAAAAAATGTTTGAAAATTACCCCAGAAAAAAATAAAAATATTTTTAAAAAATCAAATCACGCAAATCAAGGTAGAAATAGAAACCAAAGTCAAAGACCGCAAGCAAAAAAATTTGTCGCATTCAAATCATTATTGATTTTTGGTCTACAAATTCAGCAAATGACGCCTGATTTTCATCATTGAAAATAAAAGACGCCTTCTTCGTCAAATGGTCATCTCCATTGCCATTTGATTGTTCAGAAAAATATCGAATGTGTCACACAACAACAACATTTTAGTCATAGTAAACCCTATAATGTGTGTGTGACAGGGCAAAAAACACTAAACACATTTCGCCACATAAACCACACCGCCACCATCATTCAAACAAGAAATTTTCATTGAGAAAAAAAAGGATAAATTCTTGGAACGACAAACAGAAAAAACAAGCAGAAAAAAAATCATACAAACCGCACAATGGAATGCACATTCTTGTCATCATTGTTGTTGTTGTTGTTGTAATTTAACGATTTTCAACAACAACAAGCCAAGGAAGAAGAAGAAAAATGGGGCCAAAGTTCAACGAAATAAAAGATGCTTATTACACAAGTCATCATGAAAGTGATGAAAAAAAATAGAGAAACATTCCAAGAAATAAAATGATAGCCATTTTCTTTCCAGGAATTTTTTCCTTCTTCTTACATTACATTCACATACACATAGAGCAAAGCAAAACCACAAAAGGTTCTTACCGTTTTGTTTTTTCTGTTTGTCGATTTACAATCAATCAATTTGTGACCATCGAGATTATCATCATCATCATTTGCAAAGAACAACGAAAAAACAACAAAAATTAGTTCAGAAAAATGATTACCTTTTCTTTCTTCTTGTCTTCTTGCTTGCTTTGATTGGAAAAATTTCCAAGAATTTCGCTGTAAACTTTGTCTAAAAGAAGAAAAATATTTCCTTTTTGAAATTGTCGAATGAGAAACAACAACAACAAAAAACATAATGATAATCGCTGACCACCACAACCACCATCACTGACCAATACTTTAATTAAATTTGATTTAATCTTTCGGGAAAAGTTTCGGGAAAAAAAGGATTTAAAAAAATCAATTTTCTCAATGCATCATCAACAGTGGATTTGATCGATTTTTCTAAAAACCAAAACAAATCTAAATGAAATATAAGAATCGAAAAAATACGCCTTTTAGTTTCTTAGAATAGTCAGAGAAACACATTATGCAAATTATGAAAAAAAATTTTCTTCTTCTTCAAAAACCAAACAACAACAACAAAAATCAAAGTAGGTGTTGCCCATGCAACACATTACAACTTAAGACATTAAGACTTCCTTCGGGACAAACAGAAAATTTTTCTCTTTTCTTTTTCTTCATTCATTGATGATGATGATGATTAAGACTTGAAAATCTTACATAAAGTTTTTTTGTTTTTTTTTTGAAAACATTTCGCAATTTTTCTTCGTCTTCACCATAAGTTTATTAGCCTTTTTCTCTTTTGCACTTCATTCATTCATTGAATTTTTCAAAAGTTTCATTCAAAAATTTCATTGATGGGCGGCGTGTAAAAACAAACCATTCAAAACACACACTCTGTGTGATTGAATTGTTTTCAACAACAAAAAACTATTACATTCTGTCATTGATCATTGTGACTGAATCATCCGAATAACCAAAAAAAACTAAATTAACCTGAAGCAACTTGTTGCTTTGGTGATTTTGTGTCTTGTGTGTGTGTGTATTTTTCTGTAGTAAACAAGTGCCAAACGACAACAAATCAAGTGTTAATTTTTCAAAAAAAATGCTCCAAAAAATCATTTTCCGGAATTTGATTCCGGATGAATGCAAATTAACATTGACATTCATGATTTTTTTTCCCTCGGTTTATCAATGGCAATGATTTTTGCTTTTTTTGATCTCTAAAATTCTCCGACAAAATTTCCATTTTTTGTTTTGGTGTGTTTCAAGAACATTTCATTTGAAAAACAAAAAAAAAGTTTCAGCGAATAATCTTTACTCTGTTTTTGTAGAAAAAAAAATTCATTATCATCATCAACATTTTATTTTTAGCTTTTTTTTGTTGAAAAAATGAAAAAAAATTTTCTTCGATAATCTTTGGCTTATCAAACGAAAGAAAGAAATCAAAGCATTTTCCAAAAAAAACATCTTTGCTTAATCTTCAATGCCAAACAAACAAACAAAAGAATCCAAAAAAAAAAAACAACAAGACAAGAATATTCCTTTTAAAATAAAATAAAAAAAAAAAAAATTCCTTTTGTTTTCATCATCATAATGGAAACACTTGGAGAATTTGTCAAAGAATTTCATTTTTTTGTTTTGTTTTGACGTAATGTTTTTTTTTTATAAAAAAAATCATCAAAATTATCTTTCATCACCCATAATAATAATAATCACTAATAATCCTTTTTGGTATCTTTTTTTGTTTGGAATCATCATTGTACCTTGTTGTGTTAATACGACCTACACGTTTTATTATTACACATTCTTTTAACCCGGCACATCTATAAATTTTTATTTTTGGTTTTTTTTTCGCTCTTGATTCTTCTTCATTTTCCGAATAAATAATCCTTGAATTTTTTTCCCGACCAAAAACATTGATTTGTGTTGTGTGATGTAATGGAATGGTGATGTGGATCATCCATTCATTCATCCATCCATTCAACCAACCAACCAACCAATGCATTTTCAATGGAGAGATAGAGAGAGAGAGAGAGATGCGATAAAAGAATCGTTGCAATCAAATTGGGTTTAAACGCTCCACCTTTTTTTATGATTTTTATCGGATATAAATTTTTGCTTTTGTTTTTTTTGTTGTTTTTGATTTGGATTTAAATTGCTGGTTGGCTTGCTTGAGCAAAAAAAAAATTGCCGCATTATATTGCCGCCTTTTCTTACGTTTTGTTTTGGATTTTTTTTGGTTTTGGTTTGCATACAGCAGCAACAACAACCAAAAAAAAACCACAGCATCATCACATATAAAACACACAGGTGTAGTGTTTCAACCTGATAATAATGGGTGATGAAAAGAAGAATAAGAATAAGAAAAAGAAAAAAAATTTTTCTTGTGTTATATAAATACCCAAGTTTTTTCTTCTAATGGTTTCCGTTTGTTTATTCGTCATCAAATGTTTTCATTTTTGGAACAATTTTTTTTTTCATTCGACAAACATTCCGAAAATAAAACAACAACAAGAAGAAGAAGATCTAAATCACCAAACCAAAAATCAAATAACAAAGATTAAACCACCAAAAATATCATTTTCAGTCCAAAAAAAAACAAACAATACCTTTATATCAAGTTTGTCAAATCCAACAGATAAAACATCATCATTATTGTCGAAATATCATCGATAAAATACAATAATCCACGTTATCTGTTTTGGTTTTTTGTTCAATTCGTCTTTATTATTCTTGATTAACACATAACACACATTCTGTGAATGGTCATCCGATATTCAACAAGGTATGTAACAACTTTGATTGTTCCATAAATAATTTTTTATTTGATAATTTTTTTTAAAATTAAATTAAATCTATTAATTATTAAAAAGAAATTAATTAATTTTATTTATAATGATTTTATAATTATATAAATACCGATCATAATTTCTCCAAACCAATTTTATAATTTTACTTTACCCAGTTTTAAAAATTCTTCCGGTTGTTTTTTTTCGTTCGTTCGTTTATTGAATCCAATTAGTCCGTCAATCATCAATCGACGAATTATCTATTCATAAATTCTGTAATTCGTTTTGAATAAATTTTAAATTTTAAAAGAATCCAGAATGAAATTTTTAAAAAGTAAGTATTAAAAAAAAATTTGAATATTTCAATCGCAATCTTACCCATCTTTTAAATAAAAAAAAAAAGGTTTGATAACATTAATATTTTATACATTTTGCTGTTGGCTATCATACGGTATTGATCATCGTTCAATGATTATGGTCGAAACAATGGAAAATTATCAATCATTTGCTGAAGAAGTACCATATAAAAATTTAATGAAAAGATGTGAAACAGATAAATTTAAACGTAAAGATATATTTCAACAAAAAGTTGATATTAAAAATGATTGTAATTATACAAGATATACTGAAGATTTACGTACATTTATACAGATGTCAATGTGTTTAGTTAAAAAAGAATTACAATTAAAAGTAAGTTTTTTAAAAAAAAAAAAATTAAAAATTTTAAAGTTTTATAATTTAATTACAATTGTTCTTGCTGGTGGGAATCAAGATGGACGATAAATCAAAACGAAATTTTGGACGTATTCGTAGTCATCATAACCATAACCATAATCATCATCATCATCATAATCGATATCGACAATTTAAACATAAATTATTACCAACAACAACAACAACAACGAGAACATTAAATAGACAAATTAATGATTATTTTGATGATGGTGGTGCAAATAAATATCGACAACAATATAATTCTAATGATAATAATGGTGGTGGTCAAAGTTTAGCAGAATTATATGACCAAGTTCATAATAGTGATGGACAAACAACAACATCAGCAGCAGTATTATTCCGCAATCCAAAATATTCTTCTTCTTCTTCATTATTAAATAATTATAATCAAAATCCATATAACAAACGTTCGGTAAGTTAATGGAACAAAGAGAAAACAAAAAAAATTATTTTTATTTTTGGTTAAGATCAGAGAGAGAGAGTTATATCAGATTACCCAGATTACACAAACACCCATCATTAAGTCAAGGTCTTGTATAGAGAAACTAACAAAAATCTAAATACAGCAAAACAACAGGGCAAAGGATTAAAAAAAAATGTAAAAAAAAAATGTTTTTTAAGATTTTACCTTTGTTTGGCTTGATTTGGGGTTTTATCTTGTTCACGTCATTCTGAGATGAACGAGTGTGTGTGTGGGTGTGGGTGAGGTTGGAGGTGGTCGAGAGGGGGAGGAAAGGCTTATCAGTTGCGTTTGTAATGAATTTTTAACAGCAGAATAAAAAAATTCATTTTACACCTACCCCCATACACATACACACAACACAAACATCTATTGTCACACAGGTGTGTGTGTGTTTGGTGTGTTTTTAGGCTGTGGTGGTGTTTGGGGAGGATATGGGGTGGATTGATGTAATCGGAGAATTTGTTTTTTTTATCTAATCATTTTCATTTTTCTTTTTTTCAATCACAACAACAACAACAAAATCTATATAGGCACCAGCATTATATAAAGATATTTTTCAAAATATGACACATCATTTGAATCAACTGAGCACCTTTCAAGAGAATTACGCAATGGGCAAAAATCCGACCATGCAACGTTTAGATAAAATGGAACAACTGGAGCAAATATTGCATGGTCTTAAAAGAGATATTCTTTTGAAATTAATAAATATTGCCAAATGCGAAAGATTCAAACATGATTGTCAATTGTTGCAGCCAAATATAACCACCACTGATGATACACAAGCATCATCAAGATTTTTGGCTCGCTATAAAACAATATTGACTCATTATATCGATGATTTGAAAAATTCTTTATCATATCTACTAAAATTAGCTGGTAGTAGTGAAACGCCGGAAGATAAGTTGGCATTATGCGGATAAAGAATTTTTTAAAAAAGGCCAAAAAATACGAACGGACGAACGATACTATCGACAAAAACATAACCACCACCAATATTATCAATTTTTTTTAAAATTTAAACTAATTTTTAATTAATAATTTTTTTTAAATTTGAATAAAATTCAAATTAATCAATCAATCTCTCTTTTGTGGAAGGAAAAAAATTCCTCAAAAGAATTTTTAGTCATTACACACACGCACACACGCATAGACTTAACATTACTCGCCTCTATTCATTATCGCCAATTATCATCATCATCATTGTTTTTTTTTCTGTTGTCAACATTATTATTCATCATTTACATAATCATTCATTCATTCAAATGATCTTCAACATCTTATTTAATTATTGATTATTGTTAATTATTTTTCTCAATACAAAACCAAAAAACACGCACACACTTTGCTTATTATTATTATTATTATTGTTTGTCAATTTTTTTTTTGGTCTTGTTATAAACACTGCTTAATTATTATAATTATAATTATTATTGATTTTTTTTTTGATTTTTTGATTTTGATATCGAAAATTTAAAATTTATAAATTCTTTTTCGCTGTGTGAAAATTGATAATATGATGGTAAATACACACACATACACAAAATGAACATGTAAAACATTCCATACACACGAAACACAAAAAAACAAACTAAATATGGGAGCAAAAATCTAGATCAGAATTCAAAACAACAACAACAACAAATAAAAGCTACATTACCCTTCTTTTTTTGATCAACAAGATGACGACGACGAATGATGGACGATACTATCGACATTTTGCATATCATTATTAAATTAATCTTATTATTTTACATACCCAATACATGTTTTTTTGGTCTGTAAACACACACACATACCGATCTAATGAATAAATAAAAGTTTTTTTTCTGAAAATTGAATGATAAAAATGGTGAATGATTTTTAATGAAAATTTAAATAAAATTTGAAATAAATATTTTCCAAACAAAAAAAAACAAAAGAAAAACATTCGAATCGAACACAGGAAACAAAAATGATTCGATTCTATTTTCACTCAATAATGATCGGCGATCGGAAATAGAATCAAAATAATAATCATCAAATAATATTTACAAACATTTTTAACAAAAACAAAACAGAATTTTCAATTAATTATTTTTCAGCTAGAAAAAAATCGATGTGATTCATTACGAAAAAATTGTTCCAAATCATTGAATAATCGAACCGAATCACGCATTAATTGACATTCGAATATTGATTTCCGAGCACATGAAAGATGTTGTCGTTCAATTGAATCGATTGGTTGAGATATTATTTGTTGAATGATTGGTTCGATCGGTACCGGTATCCGAAATAAAATGATTGCCTGATTTAGATAACATAATAGGCTACGTAGATTATTGCTAACATGGAAAAAATTTTCCTCTATTAATAAATTATTTTGCCGTAATAATTTCATTTTTGGTATCATCGATCGTTGTGGTTGATCATCATTATCTCTAGGATCGGATATTTTATCAGATTGTTGTTGCCGTTGTTGTTGTTGTTGTTGTTTGATTGTAATCGTTTCTATATGATGTCGAAATAGTAAACAATTATCATTGTTTAATGAATGTTGTTTATGTTGATTCCATAATGAATAAAGATGTGCTGTTTGATTGGCCAATGTTTGATAGATTAAAATCATTGATTTCGATATATTCTATATTATATGTGTGTGGTGAGAAACAAATAATCAACAAAAGAATTAATAAGAATTGATTGCACACAGGATTTTTTTCTGTGGAAAAAAAGTGGATTCCACTTTGGACAATAAACAAACAAAAAACATTGAGGTCAAACAAACTTACATCGTATGGTGGATCAGGTATACGAAATATATTCGGTAGTTTAAGTTGTAAACAATCTTTTACCAGATTCTTTTTGGGAAGAGAAAATAAAGAAGTAATTAAGTGTTAGTAAGAGTGATGGACGAATATCGAATCGATAGTATCGTATTTACAAAAAAAAAATCGAATACATACTTTACGTATCATATCGGTAACAATACCTTTTAAATGATTCGAACGTTCAATTATTTCTTGTAAAATATCAAAACCAATTTGATAACGACGACGACGACGACCAAGTTGAAATCGATTATCAATATTATAATCATCATCATCGTTATCCACATTTTCAATCAATTCATTTGAATGATCCATTTGATGATTAATATTGTTTGAATGAATCAGATCAATATCGGTCGATTGACATGGATGAAATAGATCGATTGGTATGATTTGGGCCAAATTTTTTACAATCATCTTTTCATTATTGGTATGTGTTGAATTATCATTAATTTTATTATTAATTTTATTATTTTTATTAATTTTTGTATAATTTAGATCAAGAATTTCATTTGCTAATTGTACAATTTTATCCACCATACGTATTAAACGATTACGTTCTTTTGATGATATTGATTTTGTTTTCGATGATTTTATCGTTGATGATTTGGATAATAATAATTCTTGTATTATTGATTCGAATGTTTCCGATAATATTGTACTGCTATTATTAATCAAGCTGCTTTTTCTGGTTTCATTGCCGAGATTATTTCTTTTTATCATGTTCGAACGTCTTGATGATTGTAACATTCGTATTGGTAATATCAAATTCATAATTATTATCAACAATAATAGTAATGATCGTATCAAAGACAATCGTAAATTTAATGATGATGATGATGATGAAGCTCTAATATTGAGCTGATAAATAAATGAATGAAATGAAATTGATGATATCAACAACATGATCAACAAGTCAAATCAAAGAATTTTAAATTGAAAAACAATTCGAATGAATGTTTTTTTACTGGGGATTATTTTCACAAAAGGTAAATGTTATTTTTGTGTTGATGCATTTAACCTGAATTTATGATGTTTTTTGTTTTTTGTTTTTTTAGGTGAATATCAACCCGGAACAAATATTGACACACACACATTAACTAAATTAACTAATCAAATCAACAAAGTTAAGTTATATTTTTATGATGATTTTGATCATAAAAATTAATTTAAATTATTAAAATATATTGTAGGGATGATACGGGTCAACATTTTTTTTTGTTGTTATTGTCGTTGTTGGTTGATTGTTTTATAACTGGTCAATGCCACCATTATCATCATCATCATCATCGTCGTCGGCATCATCATCTTCTTCATTATCACCTGTAATATTATTATTATCATTATGGTTGATCATTGTGATGTTTAATGATAAATGGTGATCATGTTTTTGTTTTTTGCTTGTTGTTTGAAGGATAATTAATCAAAAAAAAAAACAGATCTATTTATCTTACAAGATATCGATGAAACAACACAACCAGTTGCGCAGTTAAAGGAAAATGTACTGAAATTATCAAAAAAAGGGTTAAAAGAAATTGATTGAAGAAAATATTTTGACAACAACAACAACAAAAGAAATGAATCGATTGAATCGGATAAACAACAACAACAACAACAAAGGTATCATTATCAAAACAAATTTGTCTACGACGACGACATTGGATTATGATGATGATGATTCGATAGCAATTTGATTATAATCACCATTATCCAAGACGAATAAAAAAATTATCATATAAATAGGCAAAAAAAGAGAAGAAAAACTAGCCATACTACATACTGTTACCTCAATTGAAGGGAAAAATTTTTCAAATTCATCAAATTGAATTTCAACAGAAAAAATTAATGATGACGCTATTTGAGAAATATACCATCCCCTTAAATCCATCCCATCTTCAATTCATTCATTCATTCACAATTCAATTCAGATATCAACGAACGCTAAAATGCAATTAACATCATCATCAATTGATCAGACCAGTCTTGTTTATTCTATATGGAAAAAAAAAATTTCAAAATTGAAAAAAAATACCTGTTATTATGCACCGGCCAGGTAGTAGTGGTGTGATTGGTATTTTTTTAGTGATAAAAGATGTAACCAAAGAACAACAACAACAACAAAAATTCAATCAACCAAAATATTGTTTTCAATTTTCTTTTATATCCAAAAAACAATTGAAAAAGAAACCCATAATAATGATAATTCTGATAACAATTGATTTTTGGATGACGTTTTTTTTTATTTTTCCATTCCATCATAAACCGTTTTCAAAAAAAACATTCAAAAATCAATTGGCAATCGATAATTGAATTTTCTTTAGAGTTAGTTTTTTTCTCATATCATATAATCATTCATTTAAAGAAAATTTCAAGGATTTCTTTTTTTGCCATCCTGTTTGTGTGTGTGTTTGTTTAATATATTTGAATATTAAACGAAAAAAGACAATGAAAAAAGGAATACAATTGATGAAATATTTTGTTTGATTGATTGATTTATGATCTTGTTGGCAATGGCTTTGGTGATGGTGTTGACCAAAAATCAAAATAAAGATTGCACATCTTTTGGGTCAATAATTTCGGGAATTTTTTTTTTATTGACCATATTTCATAACCGAAAGCATTTCATATGACTATGATGATGTAAACATTGGGAAAAAAAAATTCAAAAAAGGAAAAACCCAATTGAAATGAAATGAATTCTTTGTGTGAATCAGAATTTCTTTTATTTATTCATTTTTCAAAGAGAAAAAACAACGAAAATCTGATTTACATCATTGGTTGGTCAAAAAACAAAAAAAATCTATTTTAATGGTATAAAACGTGATGAATGTGTAGCACCGATACCAGGACGACCATGTTTAACTGGTTTATAGGTGACAGAAAATTCACCCAAATAATGTCCAATCATTTCGGGTTTAATTTCAACCTGGTTGAATACTTTTCCATTATAAACACCAACAACTGATCCAACCATTTCGGGTAAAATGATCATATCACGTAAATGTGTTTTAACCACTTCAGGTTTTTCCATTGCTGCAGCTTCTTTTTTAGCTTTTTGTAATTTAGCCAATAATGCCATCGGTTTACGTTTCATTCCACGTGATAATTTACGTCTAGCACGTGCCGGGAATAATTCCATTAAATCTTTATTGGATTTATCCAATAATTGTTCAAGATCCACACCACGATATGAATATTTTTTGAATGTCCTTTTTTTCGGTACTTGAGCAGCAGCAGCAGCAGTTTCTTCTTCCATGTTTTTTTCGGGTTTTGGCCGGTGAAAATCGATGAAATTTTACGAAAAAAAATTCAAAATTGAAACACGAAAAATCAAAATTTCAAAACACAAAAAAAAACACAAACACACGCGAGTCAAAGGAGGAAAAGGGAAATCGAATACGCGAAAACAGGCTAACGTGTGCGAAATGTGTTTGGCGCAGACTCGAAACATCAAATCAAATGTCCTGTTCATCAATGACAGTACCAATGTTGTGATACAACAAGCACGTGTGGATTTAAGAATAAATTCGGGAAAAATATTTCGAAATTTACAGAAAAAAATGACACAAAAACCTGATGTTATGGAAGATGATAAAAATGATGACTGTGAAGAATTTATATTGATACGTGTACCGAAAACAATCGATCCATCTACATTGAATGGAACGAAAATCTATCTGAATCGAAATGATGATCGTCCGAATGAAATACGATCATCATCATCATCAGGTGATGACCAAACTTATGGATATAATTTTACTGCTATCAACAACAACAATCAATTAGCATTTTATTCAATGAATAAAATTCAACCAGAAATATTGGATAAAAACAATGTTTATCGTTTAGATCGAAATACTCGTCTAAAAGGTTGCCTGAATTTTTATCAACAACCATCACCATTATCATCGATCGAAACGAATGAATCCGAATTACAACCACTTGAATCGGAATGTCCAAATGATCCAGTGGATAAAATTATTCATCGAAATAAACGAAAATTCCTGACAGATCAAAATCCGATCATCAAATCTAATACCATTGTCGAAGACGAACAACCAAAACTTCGTACGAAGAAAAAATCCAAAACAAAATGAATGAAAAGAAAAAAATTTCTATTTATTTACAAATAGCCACGAAGAAAAAATTTTTTGACAAATAAATGTTGTAAATATTAATTTGAAATTACATATTTTTAATATATTAAAAATAATTGGAAAAAAATGAAATGTTCAGCCGGAAAGGAAGAGAGATTGCAGTTATGTGTGTGTTTGGTGGGTTTGAGAGTTTTTTTTACAATTCATCGTGGTCATCATTCAACGAATCTTCATCTTTGGTATTGTTATCCTATATGCAGCAGGAATGGAAATTATTAAAAAAATTAAATATTTTTTCCAATTAAATAACTTACCGAATCATCTTGTTGTTTATCAGCTGAATTATCATCATTAAAACCACCATCATCATCATCATCGTCATCTTCGACTTGAGCATTTTCATCGACACCCAATGTTTTACGTAATAATGTTTCGACACGTTGTGCAAATGATGTTGTATCACCTAATTGATAACCAGATCTTAATGTAGCTGTTTCATAAATCAACATGGCCATATTTTTAGCAACCAGATCTTCTTTATCTTCTTCAACACGACGTAATAATTCACGTATCAATGGATGACGTGGATTCAGTTCCATTGTTTTCTTTTGCGATAAATAATAATCACGCATTGTATCTTGTGATTTGGAATGTGCATTCGATAATGCTAAACGTTCCATATTACCAGTCCAACCAAATTGTGATGCAACTAATGCACATGGTGATTCATGTAAACGTTGTGATACAACAACTTTTGATACTTTTTCCGTTAATAAATCTTGAAACCATTTTTTTAATGGTTCAAATTCTTTATCTAATTGTTCTTGTTTTTCTTTTGTACGTTCAGATTGTGATGAAAGATCTAAACCATCTTTAGCTACATTTTGAAATTTTTTACCTTCATATTCGGGTAATGCTGATATAGCATATTCATCAACAGCATCGGTTAAATACAGAACTTCAAAACCTTTTTTCAATAAACGTTCAACAAATGGTGATCGTGATACTTCATCCAATGATGTACCGGCAATATAATAAATATGTTCTTGTTTTTCTTTCATACGTTTAACATAATCTGATAATGGTATCATTTTATCCATTGAATTTGATGAAAGGAAACGTAATAATTTTGCTAAACGTGCACGATTAGCACTATCTTCAATAATACCCAATTTTATATTGGTACTATATTCACGCCAAAATACTTCATAATCAGCTTCGGATATTTTTTTCAACATATCCAATACTTTTCGTACTAATTTTTTTCGAATAACTTTCAATAATTTATGTTGTTGTAATGTTTCACGTGATACATTCAATGGTAAATCATCACTATCGACTAGACCACGAATAAAATTCAAATAATTTGGCATCATATCGGTAAAATCATCGGTAATGAATACACGACGTACATATAATTTTATATTATCCGTACGTGTACCATAACGATTTAATGAATCAGATGGATTAACTTTCGGTACATATAACAACGAACGGAATGTAACTTCACCTTCGGCAATAAAATGTGTTTTAGCCAATGGATCTTGTGTATCACGTGTTAATGATTTATAAAATTCATTATATTCTTCATCAGTTATATCGGCCGGATTACGTGTCCAAATCGGTTTCGATGTATTAATCAATTCCCATTCCCAAATGGTTTTTTCAATTTTTTTCGTTTTTGGTTTCTTTTCCGAATCATCTTTAACATCTTCTACTTTTGCATCTTCATCATCATCACCGGTTTTTGGTTTTGATTCTTCTTCAGTTGTTGTTGATTCTTCAATCGGTTCTTCCGTAGTTTCAATACGACTTGCCCAAAGATAGATTTTAAAATTAATAAATTGACTATATTTTCGAATCAAATTTCGTAGAGTATCTTGTTCAAGATAATCTTTAGCTTCTTCTTTCAATACCAATGTAACACATGTACCACGTTTTAATGTAGGACCACGTGGATCTTCAACGATAGTAAACGAAGAACCATCTGATTCCCAAATATGTTGCACTGGGTCATCATTCGATTTGGATGTTACAATAACTTTATCGGCAATCAAAAATGCCGAATAAAAACCAACACCAAATTGACCGATTAAATCATTCATTTCACGTACATCTTTAGTTTCGGATAATTTTTTCAAAAAATCAGCCGTACCAGATTTAGCAATAGTACCAAGATTAGTAATCATTTCATCTTTAGTCATACCAATACCAGTATCAGTTATATGTAATAATTTATTATCTTTATCTGCTTTAATACGAATAGATAATTCATCAGTAGCAGCCAATACTTCTTTATCCGTAAGTGATAATAATCGGATTTTATCCAATGCATCCGATGCATTTGAAATCAATTCACGAAGGAATATTTCCTTATTTCTATACAATGAATTGATGATCAATTTCATCATACGATTAACTTCGGCTTGAAATTGAAATTTTTCCGCTTTTTCACGTAGTTCTTTCATTTGTGCAACACTTAGACCATCCAATTTGATTGCCTCTTCTTCACGTTTCACTACTTCATCATCGGTTTTCGAACCATCATGATGTGCACCAAAATCCTGATCAACAGTGGCTGCCGAATCCAAATTCAATTCATCATCAAGAATATCTTCACATTTGGCTAGTTCTAAAAAAAACCAACAGAAAAAACAAATGCAGAAAACAAAATGATTATCTTGCCTATTTATATTTTTAAAAAAAGGCAAAAAAAACTTACGAAAAGAAGCCAAAATAATGAATGCCGAAATAAAAATGGCAAAAGTCAAATTACAGCGATTAGCTGATGACATTATTCTCAATTGAAAATGTCAATATCAATTTCTGAAAAAAAATTTTCGATATAAATTCAGAACAAAATTTGGTTGATTGATTTTTCGGATTTTTGAAAATTTAGAAACAACAAATTAATGACACCAAAAAAACAACAGAAAAATTAAAAATTAACTTTTTCAATCGATCATCAATTTATATAGTTCGGGAGTTTTTTTTTGCAAATCGAATAATTTGTAAATTGTCAAATAATCAAAGCACACGTCAGCCTTATGATTTTTTTGATTTTGAAAAATCAACAACAAAACAAAAATGACGAGAATATTCGAATGAAATGAAATGATCGAACGAGTGAGAGGGCAGCAGTCATAATATAATGGACAAAAACACGCTATACCGACTTGACAAACAAACAAACAAAAAAATACCGACTTGGCGAAATATGATTGGCTAATCAAATAAAATTTCTATTACGATTGCGCAGCCAAAAATACAAATGCTTCCATCTAGTGTTGAATTTTTTGAAATTTTTTTGAATTTTCAAAAAAATTTTGGATCAATTGAAGAATTTCCCCAGTAAAAATACTCAACTGTTTTTCAATTTTATGATTGATTGAAGTTTCGTGTGTTATTAGAGAAATAAGTTGTTCAAGTTTTTCTTGCAAGACAAAATAAGTTTTTATTTATTAAATTCTATATTTAAAATAGTTTGTTTCACAAATTGTGTAAAAAGCATAGTTCTCCTGATACCGCGATCTCTCCACATAAATTCATCAAGATAATTTTCTAAGTAAATTCTGCAAACTTCTTTCATAATTTTCTTATGTCGATTCCAATAAGACTCGATCGTCTGAGAGTATGTACCCCATTATCCGGATTTACAAATGGTTTACGATCCGATGATCAAAACCAATCCCCCTTCAATTCTACGATAAGCACGCCATGCGTCAGTATGTAATAATATGGAACCTGGTTTTACAACATTTTTGATTATTGATAAAAAAAGGGTAACTTCATCCCTTTTTTTGTACGATTTTCATGAAACCTAATGCAGGTTTCGTTGAAGTATCAACTATAGTCCGAAGACCCACACTTGTTCGTTTGGGTTTGAACGCCCTTTATTATATTTTCGTTTGTGGTTAAAGCACGATTCATCAATTTTCACAATAAGTGCACTTTATTTCGTTATAAATCATATTTTGTTTCATAAAAAAAACTCAATGATTGAAAACCACAATGGAAAATTCAATGGATCAGCGTCCTTAAATTTAAAATCTTCAGTTTTGTAAATTTTCGTTGTTGCAACCTTATTATTTGTTGTTTCTTCACTAGATTCTTTTCCAACAGAGGGTTTTGCCGTTGAAAATTTTTTGCACCAAAAAGCATATTTTTTAGTCACTTCCTGTATTTTTTCTTGCTTCAAATCGTCATCAGAAAGGCCATTAATCATGATATAGTCGTTTAATTTAAGTAAATTGGTCGAATGAATCGTTCAATTCTTTTTCCTTTCTCGTGATGAGTTCAGATCCAAAAAACTGTTTATTATAGAGGTCTCTTGTCCAAAAATCAAATCAAATAGAGAAAACTTTGTTTCTAAATTACGTATATAATTATTTCTTTTATTAAATATTTCTCGAGGCTCTTCTTGTTCGGAAAATTCCATTTCTGGCTCGCCAAATATTAAAATTAGAATTAACACAAAAATAACAAATAAAAATCAAAACTTTAATAAAAATTAAATATAAACTTTGGTAAATAAACAATAGTAAACACAACGGTAGGACAATTAAAACTGGTTAGCTATAAGTGTAGCCAACACGACTTTATTTATACTCTTAATAACAATTAATCATTTTCAATTATATTATAAGTTCTATATATAGAACTTTTGTTAGTTTGTTAAGCTCAACATTCAACATTAAAACTTGGTTAATATTTCATTTATATTTATGTAAAACCAATATATTGTTAAAAACAAATCTAATTTATGAATTCTAATTCATAATAAATAATAATATTCGCGAATAACAATTACTCCCATTTATATACAAATAATTTTTTCACCAAAAATTAAGCTTGCAATTTCTATAGCAATTTATGAAAAAAAACTCAATTAAAGAATTTCCCCAGCAATTTCCCTCAATTGAAGAATTTTCCCTGCAATTTTTATTTTGGGGAGATTGTTCAATTGATTCAAAATTTTACCCGCTTCATTTTTTTTTGGTGTCAAAGTTTATTTGTTTAATTAAAAATCAGTCTCTCATACAAACAAACAACAACAACAAAATTTACAACAAAAAACAAAAAAAACAAAATCTAATTAACGCCCATAGATGATGATGTAGATAAAGATTTTCGTTGTTTTGTTTTATCAATATTATCATTATTATGATCACCAGCTATAGTAGTAGTTATTGTAGTATTATCTTTTGTTGTTGTTGTTGTTGTAATTGAAACAATATTTTCAAAATTAACATCAGTCAAATAATATGGTTGAAAATTTTGAAAATTTGTTCCCAATATTTGTCGTAGATTTTTTTCAATCATTTCTTCTTCCTTTTTTTTCAATAGTTGCTGCTGCTGTTGTTGATGTTTGAATGTTACGATTCCAGCATCATCATCATCATCATCATCATTATCATCATTTGTCTTAAGTTCATCATCATCATCGTGTTGTTTCTGTTGTTGTTCTTCATTCGTTTTCATTATGATACGTATAATTGGATTACCATAAAATGGTGAATGTCGTTGTTGTTTATAATGTTCACCACCACCACCAATAATACCACCAATAGAACGATCATGATCATCATCAAATGATGATGATGATTGTTGTTGTTGTTGTTGTTGCAATTGTTGTAGTTGTTGTTTTTGTTGTTGTTGTTGTTGAAAATTTGGATTACGAAATGAATGATATAAATCATTTATAATAGCACGATCATTTTCACATAATTTTTCAAGTGTTTCATAGAAAATTTTTTTCGTATAACATCTAGAAGAAGATGATGATGATGATGATAATTCATTTGCATTCATCTTTTTTTCACCATCATTCTTATTATTATCATTATTATTATTGTTGTCATCAACATTAGTATCAGGATTACGATAATAATCGCTAAGATCAATATCATCAATATCCAATTTTTGATTACGACCAAGTAGACTTTTTTTTGTTTGTGGGAGATAATCAGTCATTATTAATAAATAAATACATTATGTTTAAAAAACTTACAACAAAAGTAATTCTTTACTTGGTCGAACAAAATCATTATGATTTTGATTAACAAAACCAATATAACGATATAGATAGCTATTATTACCATCTAATCCATCGAAACCTAATTCATCCGGTCGAGCTTGTGGTTTATACACCATCTGTATTCGTGGTGATGTTTGTTGTTGTTGATCTTTATGATTATCAGAAGACAAAGATTCTTCTGGCTGTTGTTGTTGTTGTTGCTGCTGTGGTTGCTGTTCAGAATTTGTTATAAATGTAAATATTCGTCCTTTTTGTCCACGAAATACATTCGAAAATGGTATTTCAAAATCATCCAATTCAATTCTTTCCGAATGACGATTATTATTATTATGTTGATGTTGTTGATGATGGTGATTATTATGATGATGATGATTGTGATGTTTATAACCATGTTGATGATGATGATTATTAAATCGATCAGAGCTTTGTTCATCATCATCATCATCATCATCATATTCATCATCGTCATCATCAATATCATCATCATCATCATCATTTTCGGTTGTTTCACTTGTTACCATAGTTGTTGTTGTTGTTGTTTCCGATTTTTCTGGCATCATCATCATTATTTCCTGTTGTTGTTGTTGTTGTTGTTGTTCATCATTTTCTCTCTCTACCGCCATCATCGAATCATTCTTTTTATCATTATCATTCGTATTGTTTGAAACAGCAACAACAGGCATAACACCAATCATATTTTTATCGAATATAATTTCAACAGCTTCATATTTTTTAACATTAACACATGTACTTGGTTCAATAATTGGATTCTGTATTATTGATTGATCGATTAATGTTTGTAAATGAAATAATTCTTCATTCTGTGATCGTTGTTGTATTATTGGTGCTGCTGATGTCGCTGCCACTGATGCTGTTGATGCGGATTGTTGATTGACAACATTCGATAATTTTGTTGCCATCGTTGTCGTCGGCGTGTTTAACATTCGATTATCATTACCATTCATAATTGTTCGTCGTCTATTAACAGAAGCAGCGGCCGCAGCAGCAGCAGCCGCTTGTAATTCTTTTCGTTGACATGTACGACATTTATTTTTACATTCAATATGACCATTTATATAATGATATTCACATTGATTACAATGATCATTATTATTATTATTATTATCATCAATATCGACCATATTTGATGATGTTATTATTGATGTTTTTCCATTTACAATAACGTTATTATTATTATTCTTAATAATACCATTATTCTGATGTCTTCGTTTTTTATTATTAATAATATTACTGTTGTTGTTGTTGTTGTTGTTATTGTTGTTGTTGTTATTATTATTATTTGTAAATACAATATGATTTGGATAAAATTTTCCATTTTTATATGATCCATTGTTGTTGTTGTTGTTATTGTTACGATTATTATTGTTATTATTGTGATTATTATTGATTGTTAATCGATTTCTTGTTGTTGTTGTAGATGTTGTTGTTGTTGTTGTTGTTGTTGTTGAATTGTTTGAATGTTGTGGTTGATGATGATGATTACGTGGTAAATGTAATGATATTTGATTTAAAATTTTTTCCACCAATTCTATTGATTGTTGACTTTCATTCGTTGTTGTTGTTTTATTATTCGGAATATCTTTCGTTGTTGTTTGATTATTTATAGTAGCGGCTGATGCTGCTGCTCTTGCATAAGTTATATTCGATGAATTCCTTGCATATGATGATGATGATGTTGATCGAGGATTATTATGACGATCACCAATATCGGTTGGTGTCGGTAAAAGAGGAACCGAAGATGGCGGCGGTGGTGGCAGTTGCGGCGATGGTGGATGATCAATTATCGTCGAAGTAGATTTATTAAATCGATTCATTTTTGTTTTGAAATTCTAGAAGAAAAAGAAGAAAAAATATTCACCCAAAAAACATTTACCAAAGAAAAAAAAAGAAAAATTCTAACCAAAACATTCGATAATTGTAACGATTTTTATAATAATAATAATAATTTTTTAATAATTCGATAATTTAATTTTATAATTTTTTATTCTAAAATTATTATTAGTAGTTGTAGTTGTAATATTATTCATCATCATCATCATGATTATTATGTAAATTCATTAATTTTTGAATATGATGTTTTTCACATTTTACCGATGACATTGTTGATGATAATGTTCGAAATTCGTTCGATTTATTTGTAACGGTGGCGGTGGTGGTGGTGGTGTTGTCAGTGCTGCCACCAACGACAGTAGTGATGTAACTTCTTCCATCATTGTTCGATTGTTGTTGTTGATTAAAAAAATATTCCGAATTTTCTTCAATCAATTTGATCAGCCAAATTGAAAATGATGTAAACAATGAACCCAAAAAAAAGCTTAATATTTTTAACCAAAATGATTGTTCAAAAAATATCCGTATGACTGGACGATAAGCAAAATTTTTATGATAATTACTTTCAGTCCATGTTGAAAAATCAACACTTGTTGTCATCATTAAATGATTCATTTGTTGTCTTAACATTTCTTGATCATCAGCTAATAATAATAAACCTTTACCAATATATTCAGCATATGTTGATTCAGTTACTTCCATAACTGTTTGTGATAATAAACATTGACTATAACGATAATCATTTGAATGATAATCACCATCAAAATATGTTTGATTATATCCTAATGGTATAACGGTAAAACCATTTTCATCCATTATTGTTGATGAAATTGATGAACAATTTTTTAATCGTGAATTTGCATAAAATAATATTATCTGTAATGAACGTCTGACATCAATATTGAATTGTATTCGTTGTTTAATATGTGTGGAACGTGTTTCAATCGTATTCATCATCATATCGGTTTCACGTTGTATTGGTGCAGTAAATTCATATTGTACATCAAATAATTTTAAATTTGAATCAAACAGATCACAAATTGATGATAATCCAATTAAACAATCAACAAGTTGATGTATAAGATTTCTATCCGTTTTCAATTGATATTTTGAATATTCTTGTTCGGCTAATATTTCGAATAAAAACTGTGTGTGTGAAAAAGAATTTTTGTAAAAAAGTAAGTTTTTGTAATTATCACTTTTACTAAATATGTTTAATTATTTTAGGATTAACATCATTACTTACATTAACAACTAAATCCGAAATTTTCGTTAAACGTTCGACTATAATATCCAAATTATAATAATGACCTGAATCAAATAAACTATGAAAATATGGATTACGTATTTCTGAACCATAACCGGCCAACAGTAGGGCATCAATTTCTGTATCATAACGACGAAATTGTTTTGCTGTTGATGATGATGGTAATGGTCGATTATTAGCCATAAGAAATTTATTTCGTTTACAAAATTTTAAAAATTTTTCCGCTATCGTTGGTTCATTATTATCATTCATTGAATCATCTGAATGTATCCAATATTGTTGACCTGATTGTTGTTGTTGACTATCACCAATCAATTGATTCAATTCGATTACCTGTTTGATTGATTTCAGTTTAATTTTTGATGTTAATATTGAACCATATGCACTTGGATCATCCTATGGGAAATGTGTGTGTGTGTTTGGAACAAAAAATAATCAGAAATACAGAAAATCAATCAAATCGATATTTACCATAAAATTATTATAAAAAATCCATGAATTTGAACCAATATGACCAAATGATTCACCATCAAAAAATGCGTAAAGTATATTTTTAATCTGATTACCAGTACGATTTGTTTGTAAAAGATGTTGATTTTTATTCAATGTTGATATGATTGCAATCATAACAATGAATGCTGAATAAACTGAATCAGCACCCGGTGAATAAGAATCAAACATTGTAAATGAATCTAATCTTGCTGTTAATAATAATATTGAACGATTTTCATATATAGATTGATTTTCATAAACTGGAAATAAACTTGCAAGAAGATTACGTGCACGTATTAATTTACAATATGAACTTTCAACCATATCCATTGCATTTTGACTACGTTTTAAACAACGTTGTGAATTTATTGTACCATACATAAAACTTAATAATTGTAAACGACAATTTGATTTTTGTTGACATTTTTGAAATTCTTTTATAGCTGTTTTATTTCTGACGAAAAAAAATGGAAATGGCCATGATATTTTGGAATAATTTTCATATGGATTTGGTTCAGGTATTTCAGGTGAACATTTTTGTTCATCATCATTATCATTATTAGTATGAGTTTTATTTCCATAATGTTTTTTTAATTGTATACCATAACCAATATTTGGACAATGTGATTCTTGTGAATATGATCTATATGATGATGATGAATTCATTGATGATTGATCACTAATTTCAATCAAAATAACACCGGTTATCCATTTAATTAATTGATAACGATATTGTCGTAATTTATCGATTGAATAAAAATCCTGTATGTTTATAATTAAAATCAATGGACCATATTTTTTATATCGTTCAATTAACACTTTTGTTTCCATATCCAAATGATTGAATATCTGATATGGATGGCCATTATTACCGTCTTGTTTGGATGAACAACCAGTACTATGCGTCAGATTAAAACGTCTTATACAAAATGATATATCCGATTTGGTTGATTCAAATCGATTATAAATTAATTGATCAATTGATTTTCCTTTAAAACGATTAAATAATAATGAATCGACTGATGATGTAGTAGTGATGATCAATAACAATAATATTTTACCGGTAAATATTATGCATAAATTCATTATTTTTTTTTACAAAAAAAAAATTTGCATAATAGAAAATTAATTTTGGTAAAAATTTTCAACTTTATTTCGATTTTTTTTCTCATTCAAAACAAAGAAAAAAAAATTCAAATTAAATTAAAATTTTTCAAACAAAAAAATTAACTTTTTAAAAACATTTTTTCATCCATAGATGGCGCTCAAGCTGTTATACATGTGTCAAACCAATCATTTTTGTGACGTGTATATTGATTGTGTTGATTGACGGACTGATTGAACATCCATGTCACACACACACGATACGATATATTCCAATTCGGATTGTTTAAAGCCGGCTTATGATCATCGATCGATTGATCGTTGCTCAATCAATCAATCCAATTCAATTCACTTTTTCTATATGTAAAACGTGTCACCAAAATTTTTCAAAACAGCTGACTTATCATGTGAGTAATCAGTTCGATTTTTTCTGAATTTTCGATTGATTTTCTTTTTCTATTTTCCAGTCATTTTGTTCGATTTGAAAGCAAAAAAATGTATAAAATATCTATCTATACCGTTTTATTATTATTGTTTATGGTTGTCCAACAATTAGAATCAAATTATCAAGACGCAAATATACCACAACATCGTCGTTTTGAATATAAATATTCATTTAAAGGACCATATCTTGCACAAAAAGATGGTACAGTACCATTTTGGGAATATAGTGGTAATGCTATTGCATCGGAAGAATTAGTACGTATTACACCATCATTACATTCAAAAAAAGGACAATTATGGTCAAAATCATTGACAACATTTGATTGGTGGGAAGTTGATCTAATATTTCGTGTTACCGGCAAAGGACGTATTGGTGCTGATGGTTTAGCATTTTGGTATACCGATCGGAAATATCCTGAAGGTCCTGTATTCGGTTCTTCGGATCATTGGAATGGTTTGGCTATATTTTTCGATTCATTCGATAATGATGGTAAAGGAAATAATCCATATGTAATGGCTATGTTGAATGATGGTACGAAAACATATGATCATAATTCGGATGGTATTAGTCAACAACTGCAAGGTTGTTTACGTGATTTTCGTAATAAACCATATCCTGTACGAGCAAAAATTGAATATTATCGTAATGTATTAAGTGTTATGATACATAGTGGTAATACAAATAATGATGATGATTATGAATTATGTTTTCGTGTGGAAAATGTTTTCTTACCACAATATGGTCATTTTGGTATTACGGCTGCTACCGGTGGTTTAGCTGATGATCATGATGTATTGAAATTTCTTACATATAGTATAGATGCAAAACCTGCTAATAATGCACAACAACAACCGGGACAACAAGGACCAGGTCTTTCAGAAGCAGATAAACAACGTTTTAATAAAGAATATGAAATATATAAAGAAAAATTAGAACGACAACGTGAAGAATATTTGAAAGCACACCCGGACGAAGCAAGAAAACTGGAATTAGAATCCGAAAAAGCTGTTGATGCTGATTTTGATTTTTCCGTAAAAGAATTACGACAAATTTTTGATGGCCAAAGTGAAGTTTATGAACATGTTAAATTGATGAGTAGGAAATTGGATGAAATTATTGGTCGACAAGAAAGAGCTTTATCGATGATATCGAATTTACATTCGATTGGTGGTGGTGCTATTCCACAACAAACCGGTGGTGGTGTTCCACAAAGTAAGTTGTTTCCCTCTGTAATTTAATTAATTCAAATTTGATTTTTCTCAACCAAAAAAAAAAAAAAAAAAAAAGTTCCTGCCAATTTACCTATATCACGTCCAGAAGTAGAAACATTACTTGGTGTACAACGTGAATTGATACAAAATTCAAGGGAGATAAAAGTTCTTGTACAACATACTCAACAACAACAACAACAACATGGTCAGGTTCCAGTTCAACATCAACAAGCTGTTGGATCACAAGATTCAGGTAATCAACAGCTTGCCCTGTTACAACAATTATTGAATGAAGTACGTGAAAATATGAATGTTGTTCGGCGAGAATTTGGTACATTAACAACAAGATTGGCTTCAATTGGTGGCGGTGGTCATGCATCACCGCAACAACAACAACAAACGCAATCAGCACAACAAAGTTGTATTTCAACATTTAGTTTTATAAGTTTTCTTTCAATTCATTTATTAATGATATTTGGTGCTTTATATTATTTTTCCGGTCGTGATCAACAATCGAAAAAATTTTATTAAGAAAAACCAAATCAAACCAAAAAAAAAAAAAAAATCAATCGATCTAAATGATGAAGATCGTCGTCGCCGAATGAAAAATGGGGGTTTTTTT